GGAGCACTGGGATGGTGGACATGGGGTACTGGGATGGGGGATATAGGTTACTGGGAGCACTGGGATGGAGGACATAGGGCACTGGGGACACTGGGATGGGGGACATGGGGCACTGGGGACACTGGGATGGTGAATACTGGGAATACTGGGATGAATGACTTGGGGACAGTGGGACAAGCCATACTGGGACAGACCCACCCTGGGGACACTGGGACACCAGTGACCAGAGAAAGGTGAGGACATTCCTGTCCATACTCCTCCCTTTTCCTCCTTCCCAGTTCATCCCAGTTCATCCCAGTACAGGGGTGATCGCGCACTTATCAGAGAGGATCCCGAAGAGCCCAGAACCCAGGAGGATCCCGCCCATGTAGATGGATTGGGCCACCTGCCTCAACCTCTTGGACTCACACACCAGGTCCCACTGCCACCAGGAGAAGAACACGGGGTGGTCAACACCAAGGACCATCTCTGGTCCCACCCCCACCCCACGTGACACCCCCCGTCACCTCGGTAACGATGGTTTGAGTGAAGACACCATCTTGGTAGGTCCAACCATCATGACAAGGTTCGGTGGCCGCTCCGTTGACCGTCTCGTTGACCGTCCCGTTGACCTTCAAGAGGTGCCACTGAAGTTCTACGTAACGACGGCAACGTTGGGGACGGTGGTGGCCATCAGAGGGGATGGAGATGAGGAGTGGGACCTCCTCCCCGGCGCTGGTGTTGGCCATGGGCCGAGGTCGGCAGTGATGCTCGGGGACGCCGGCGGTGAAGTTCTGCAGAAGGTTGTGACTGGCCAACATGAGTAGAGGAATGGCCAAGGCGGCCACGTAGGTCATCTGGAAACGGCCCATCCCACCCAGGTGGGTCAGAAGCTCCACGAAGGTCATGGTGAGTTGAGGGATGGAGCTGGGAGGGGATCCAGGTCAACTGGAGGGTGGGAAGAGCAGGAGAAGTTGAAGGATGGGCCAAGGGTTGGGCTGGGAATGGCCAAGGGATGGCCAAGGGGGGGTTTGGAGGAAGGGATGAAGGTTGGATCAAGGG